ATATATATATGCCATCCTTTTTAGGCAGCGTTATATACATCACTGCATGCTTTGTAGGTAGGATCCAATGTATTTGATATGGTCTTATGACTATCTGTAAGTGCCTCCACAAGTCAGCAGTTAATGCTTCTATAAAAGGAGTCCCTAAATGATTAACTTTTTTTCCATTAATTTTTGTGACATCTTTGGGAATAGCCCATCATCCACACATATTTGTCTATCACCCTTAACCTTCATGATTCGCACTGGTTGTGCCCTTTGTGAGCCAAAGCTCAGCATGGATAATTAATCTAATTTTAGCGCCGTTTGTGTGTGTGTGTGTGCTGGTGTGTATGTGTGCCCCCAAGAGATGAATACTGGACGGTTCTTTTACTTCTATCAGTGATGATGCCCAAAGCCACTTCAGTTATGCACACTGTTATCTTCCTCTGTGTTGTTACTTCTCCCTCCCCTCCCTCACCCAACTCTAGAGGCCAACTTCTGGTCTTATCTTGTCGGTTTTCTTGCATCTGTGTTTTCTGCTCATGACCTGACCCCGGGAATAATGAACTCTTCTTACGTTTAATTTATTCTCTCTTTCTTTCTCATTTTGCCTTTCCAGCAGCAGATGCGGTGCCAGTACGGAAAGATGGAGATCAGGTAAAACATTTCTACCTTTTCCTTCAAACCTTCTCTGTTCTGCACACAGAAAATGATCATTAACATTTTCCACAAAGCTGCTTTGACGAAATACAAAAGAGATAGCTGTTGGTGTATGCATGTGTGGGAAAGCTGTTTATTCTATTGTAAGGGTGTAGTAGAAGCCATTAGCAAAACTGCATTAGGATGTTAAACAAAAGGTTCCTGGCTTTAAAAACGTTTCCATTATTAAAGCTTTGAAAAAAGCAATCCAATCCAACGGCAATTTAAAGGAAAGAGACCTTCATTGAGTGAAGTGTGGGTTTATTCTCTTTGTCATTATGTCCCGTCTCTAAACCCTGCATCAGAGGTTTGAAGACAAAGCTTAGAATTTAAAAGCACAAATGTCACCTGACACATTTGTTGTTTGGCCATTACTCTTTTTTATCCCACATTTTACAAAGACAAAGCTCAGAGAAATACAATGGCTACTACTCTATGTTATTTCTTAACAGAGACTGGCTCAGACAGAGTTGTGCCAATTTTTGCTATTTTCTACCATTTCTTACCATTGACATTGCTTAGAGGTTTTGGAACATTCACAGAGGTTTAGATCTAAACTCTGGGAACTCTAGGAATTCAAAACAAACAAGATTGCAAGATGTTTGCATGGTAGCACCTCATAAAGCTCCTGGGTTTGAATCCTGTCTCTGCATAGTTGTTTGCATGTTCTCTCCATGTGCGCGTTGGTTCTCTCTCTGGGTACTCCAACCTCCTCTTACCATCCAAAAACCTCTATGGTTGGGAAACTAATTGTATATTTGCTTGGCTGTTTGCCTTCTGTTATCTTTTAGTGTTGTCATCACTCTTTAATTAACCTTTGACCTTATAAGCTAACCTAACAGCAACTTTTAGGTTTGCTCTGGAAGAGAAGTAGCTTTATAACCTACAGTATCATGACCCCCATTTTTTAAAAAACACAATAGAGAACTTATAATCTAGCATCAATCAGCTTTAAAAATGATGTCAGTGATAGCAAAATCCTCAAAAAAATGGAGTGATTTTGGAAATTCATTTCGCAGTTTGCAAACAGAACAATCTGTCTGGATATAATGATCCTCTCTAAGCTTCTCAACCCTGGAGGAATAAGTCCCCTATCCTAAACAAACTACCCGTTAATCCTGTCCAACAGGAGGAACTTACAGGCTTAACAGGTTGCAAATTCTGGTTATACTGCATTATCTAATACATGATGTCCGGTTTTAGGTCAGTGCACCCAAACATAAGTCTAACTTACAAGCAAAGCAGGCAAGGTTTTTTTCCGCTTCACCACCAAAATGTCCTCAACAGGCTGAGCCACTTTTCTGACCTCAATTCAAATGATTATTCATATTACTAGTGATGAATAGGCTGCAGGCAGAACTGCCTGGAAGTGTGTCTGCTGTGTGAATCTGGCACTGTCACTATGGATGTCTGTAAGGCAGAGCAGACTTCAAAAAGTCAGTAAAACATTAAATATTGTGGAGTGTCAGTGACCCTGGTTCAGTTAATGGCCTGAAATTTCCCTTACTTCAGTCTTCATATTGTTGACTACAAAGGTATTATGAAACAGAAAAA